TCGCATCCCCACAAGCTGGTCCAATACAAAATATTATCTCACTCGCCTTGTCACTTTTTAATGCACTTTTCATAAAGCTCCTGCATTTTTCCTCTTTTCTTTCTCTTTCTCTTAATGATGCCTCACATTTATATGATCCTCTTCATCCCAAAGCACCCCCAGGTTCTCTCTGAATAAAGGCAGGATTCTTTGTAAAACGCCCTTCTCTCACTGAAATGCTTCTGGGGAGGAACGTGCCTACTGTTTAAAATCACACAGCACACGAATCAACTATTTAGGCTAGGAAATGAAAAATACCCTGTCCATATGGAACTGCAGAGGGATTCTAGGTAGGAAGAATGTAGGAACTTGGCCAGAACAACTCAGACAAAAAATGCCAGTGGATCTTTAGCAAAACACAGGTGCTAAGGATATTGTTATTATGTCTCATTCAGAAAATTGAACCTCCATCAGCACAGTATCTCTTAATGCTACTGGGAATGACTGGCTGATGCTGAGCAAGTTACTAAATGTTCCCTCCAAACTCCATCCTTAGAGGGACAGTGAGATTAAAAGAACTTTTAATTAGAAATATCACTTCCATATGATTTTTCAAACTCCTGATGTTCAAGTATTAAATATCTCTAGAATCCTCTCTTCCCTGCTTTGCAATTTGAGCACTGCTAGAGCTTCTCTTTTTTGTGAGATAAGGGAGGTGTCACATTTCAATAGCTTATGAACTCTTTGCATGATTTCTGTGTCCTCTTCAGTTTGCTAATCAAAACTCATTCTGTAGCACATTTCTCATCCCTGGAGGGTGAAACTGTCTTCAGAAAATTAAAGCTCTTGTATCTGCTAATGTGTCATCACAACTGATAGCCTGGGGAATGTAAACAAGTTTAAAGATCAGAACAATTTTGCTGGTGACTGTCTAAGATTGTGGATTAAGCATGCAGAATTTATAGCATCAGATCTTTAAGCTAGATTGAACATAATAGGCCAGACACTCAGAGGGTGCAAACGGATGTAACTCGGTAGAAGTCAGTGGAGCTATGCTGATTTAAATCACCTGAGGATCTGGCCTATGGTGCTTTTCAAAATGTTGTTTCAATAATACATAAGAGCAGGGTGATGATCCAGCAACATGTAAAGCATCTCCCACGAGTCAGTGATCATGCTTAGCTCCACCGGAGCCCATCTGAATTCAGGGCATTCAGGATGTGCCTTTAATCCAATTGAGGACCTTATAAATAATGACTTGTAATCTTGAGTCATGACACTTCCAAAACTTTTTCAAAAGCAAATTGAAGTGCCAGCATGTACAAAGTCCATCAGCCATATTAGTGCAGGCATTTCTTTAGGGGCATGCTCCAGATCTTAGATTTGGCAAACTTTCTTCAATAAGTTGGAGAGGGGTACTTGCTGCTGCCCTTTTTCAGAATCATGGATCTTAGATTTGGCAAATTTTCTTCAATAAGTTGGAGAGGAGTACTTGCTGCTGCCCTTTTTCAGAATCATAATTACTCAGGCTGTGTCCAGACTCAGGGGTTTTTTCAAAAAAAGTAGCCTTTTTTGAAAAAACTTCACCTGCGTCTAGACTGCAGCTGCGTTCTTTCGAAATTAAATTGAAAGAACGCGGCTTTTCTTTCGACAGCGGTATACCTCATTTCACGAGGAAGAACGCCTTTTTTCGAAAGTGCTCTTTCGAAAAAAGGCGTTCTTGAATGCCAACAGGGCTTTTTAGAAAGAGAGCATCCAGACTCACTCGCTGCTTTCTTTCGAAAAAGCGGCTTGCAGTCTAGACATAGCCTCAGTGTCATAGAACCATGGCTATTAACAGAGCAGTTTTAGCTCACTTGTTATTGGTCTGTGCTATTGAAGGCAGAAGATCTAAGCTTTTTCCTCACTCCCATTGCTAAGTTCCCAGTGGCCAGGAAGTCCTATAAACATATACTAGTGGCCATGTTAAGGGACTATTGGATTTGGTGTCTGCTATTCCAACCTATCCATCTTGGTACTCTGAGATCCCCATTACTCTAGCATGTGAGCACTTCACCATATTTAACTTCACAACATCCCTGTGGAGTAAGGAAGTGCTAGTCTAGTCTATGGATGGGAAACTGAGACACAAAGACTTGCTTAAGAAGACACAGGACAGCTACAACAGAGCAAAGAACTGAGCCATGGGCTCTACTGATTGCCAGGCTAAGACCCTAACTACTGGATCATCCTTCCTCCCCCATCCCTCCACTCACAGGAGATTAAAGAGAATATTAGACTTTCCCAAAGATTACATTAAAATGATAATGGATCCCACAAAATAAAGCATGGAGCAGATTAATTCTTAGAGAGGTAATACTTGGATGAAAGGCTGTTATGTAACAATAAAGTTGCGACAGAATAATATGCCAAAGATGAATTATTGGACAGAGAAGCAGCAGTGGTATTTAAGAACAGAATAACATGCCAAAAATGAATTCTTGGACAGAGAAGCAGCAGTGGTATTTAAGTAAAGGCTTCTTCTTTGATTGCTGCTCCTCAGCTGAGCAGTAATGATGGAGTTAGATGAATTCTTTTCCTCATTTTCTGTTTTGTACCATCTTCATGGCTTTATTAATCTTTAAACCTTTTTGACCTCTTTAATTCTTCACCAGGTCTAGATAATATATCCTCATTTCTACTTCCTTGCACTCTGGTATGCATCTGTTCTGAGTCCATTCTTGACACATGTTCAGACTATCACAGTCATCTTTCTTGGATCTTCTGTATTAGCATTATTTCTCACCTTAGCCATTTTCTTATCACTGCATTTTTTGCCATCTTGAAGCTCAGCATTCCCCTCAGCCAGTTCATTTCTGCAGACAATATCTATCATTCTTTGGTATTCTCCATATTCCAACTTGCTGACCCATACAACAGTCAGCATGACATTTGTGTCATATGTGTGGATGTTTGTTTTTATCCAAATATCTTTAGTCTTCCAGCTTCTACAGTTTTCCTAATTCAGTAACAGCTAACCCAATAGGTAACCACTATAGAAGGCTTTCACCCACAACATGACATACCTCAGTTTTGACTTTCAGCTTCCCTTTGTTTTAGGCATGGGCTTTTGTTTGATTTAGTTTGGAGATTTTTTTCTTGAACAGAGACTCAAATCCTGCAATGGATTTTATGACTGGGACCAATTTCATTACCTTTTTACAGAGAAAGCACCATAGTTATCAATGTGTTTAAGAAGAAAATGATTGATGGTTTGGCAGTGTGATGATACATCTATGTGATGGTACAGTGTGTCTGTTTGTGATGTGGCATCAGCCTGATAACGTGTTTCGGATGATGTATCTGTTTGTGATGTGGCGTCAGCCTGATAACGTGTTTCGGATGATGCAACAATATAATGCTGGGAGACCATGAATTCATTCTGAGGTTAACTGCTCCACCAGGGGAGAATTTGCTGAGTGCCCAGAGCCATTAGCTGGGAAGCTGGAACTGGCACAAGTTTTGTTTTTCTTATTAGGGTCTGATCTGTTTAACTTCTCTTACCCATTTGCTGTATGGTCCTATAATATAAACCAATTCTCTCCCCTCTAGCCCTCTACCGCACTGCATGGGCCATTCCTTGTTGTTCTTATGCAGACAGAGCTCCCACAGACCTCACAATGGGAGTTTGTCAGAGCCAGGAGACATACTTTGTATGAAAAGTACATTTATAAACAGTTTATAAAGTTAATAGACATTATGGTCACGTTGCAGACATGATTAATATATGTTATAAGTGGTCATAAGCACATCAGTGGAAACCGTTATTGCCAGTTTCTAGACAATTTACCCAGCATTGGTTGGGTCCTTAACTTTCTTCATTTAAATCATTGCTCTGGGGTGGGGTGGGGATGAAGGGTTCATTATGCAGGTTGCCCCGGGGAGAGAGGACACCCCCAGCCCTCTTTGACTGCAGCAGCTTGGGGCCAGGTGAGAAGTACTTCTTCATGGCCGCTGCAGCTCCAGTGGGCACAGTCAAGGGGAGGGAGTGCATATCCCCCAGCTGGGGGAAAGACAGACACACAAAGAGACACACAAATAGACAAAATCTCTGAAATATATAAATGATAGCAGTCTCTTTCTCTACCCCTGCCTCCTGCTGGCCCACTGGTGTAATAGTTGTCCCAGCATCTATCTCTGGCCCTTTGCTGCTCCCTCCCCCTCCATAGTTATTCTGAAGTATAAACTCCTTCCTGCCAGGCCCCTTCCTTTTCATTTTATGAGAAACAATCAAATTCCAAGCACATCCCATTATCCCAGCACAACCAAATTCTTGCTTTAAGTTGTGATAGGAGAAAGCTGCATACCAAATTTGGTGGTTCTAACTCTTACTGTTTAGGAGGAGTTCTTGAACAAATAGACTCACAGACGGATAGACAGACAGATAAATGCACATTTCTAAAATATATAGTAAGATCATTAACTTTCGGAGTGTTGGATTATTGTATTTGATTAACCATTTACTAAAACACCTGTTAATTGTTTGTGAACCCTTAATGTAAACTATTTTAAAATGTAGCCTTATATAAAATACAATGAGGCTACGTCTACACTGCACGTGCATTCTTGCGCAAGTTAATTGACAGTACAGCGTCAGAAAACAGGGCTTCTTCCAGAAGTTATTCCTCTTCCCATAAGGAATAAGCCTTCTTGCACAAGAGCTCTTCCACAAGAAGGCAGTGTAGACAAGCAACATGATTTTCTTGCACAAGAAACCTCTATGGCTAAAATGGCCATCAGAGCTTTATTGCGCAAGACAGCATCCACACTGCCATGGACGCTCTTGCGCAAAAGCACATGGCAGTGTGGATTCGCTGTTATGGAAGACCTTTTGCCCAAGAACTCTTGAGCAAAACAGTTCTTGCGCAAGAAGCCTGCAGTGTAGACATAGCCTTAGGGTAAGGACTGCGGATTGGCTCCAATATTAGAAACGAGTTATTATAACTAACAATTTGCTTTGGTGCTCCTCTTTCTAATTCCAGATTAGCCTGAGGAGAAGGCTAAAGAAACTGGCCACCAAGATGGTAATCACTAGTGGAAATGAAGAAGATAAAGGCAATCAAGAAAAGGAGAGCAAAGAAGAAACCATCCTGGCAATGCTTGGCATTATTGGAACAATTCTGAATCTCATTGTGATCATTTTTGTGTACATTTATACAACATTGTGAGCCAGAAGGCACAGGACAAGAACTGACAAAACGGCTGCTAAAGGTGACAACAAACATTGTAGGCTATTGACATGTTGCTTAATCAGAATTGATTCTGTACTGTATTACCACATCATAAAAGTACTGCCTGTAGGCAGCAAAAGCTGAAGCACAATTAATTTAACAGGACTTCTTCACGCAGTAACAAGCTAAACTCTTCTGCTCTGCTTCTTTCCCTTTTTATTTGGTTTTGGTCTGGGGGTGGGGGAAAATGACTGCAATTATGTAAGTAGCAGCTCTGAAGCACTCCATCTGGGATGCAAAACACAATAGAAAGAGACTGTACACTATTTAGAATTACTAATGTATATCGTATACTCTCAAAGATAGCTACATAGCACAGGTTTTATGTCCATTAGGTCAAATATTTTTTCCCTCTATTTTGTTTACATTGAAACTGACAGGCTTTTTATTTAGAATGAACATATGGTGCAATCATGGAAAAACAATTCTGTTGAGCAAGATCTGCCTAAAAACAATAAAATGGGGGAAATAAGTGACATGTTTATTTTTTCTTTTTCATTTGCTTGACGTATGCTGTTCATACCACTGTTTATAAATATATATTTTTAATAAATGTGCTATATTTTTAGCATGAATCAAATATTTGGAGACAATCTGGTATTCATACAGCCTGGTTTTGTTTGATGAAGTGCCCTTATTTGACTATGGATGTGATGTTCTTTAGCAATTATAGACCAAACTTTGCAGTCATTTCATTGTTATCTGGAACAAAACTCACATCATGCTTGACTTGAAGTTGGAATGCCAGCTGAAAAGCATTGCTTTTTAATACACAAGATAGGAAAGCATTATAAGGTGACCTTTATAGACTGGTTGCAGGGACATGGCGCTATTTATAGAACAATGGCAAATGAAAAGAATACTAGGGTATCTCACATGACATTAGAAAACTCATCAAATATATGGTCTTTAAGCGCCCCTCCTCCCCCGGTCCCTTTCTCTATGTATCTACATAAGAACAACCATATTGTGTTGGACCAAAGGTCTGTCTAGCCCAGTATCCTGTCTGCTGACAGTGGCCAATGCCAGATGACCCAGAGGGAATAAACAGAACAGATAATCACCATGTGATCCCTCTCCTGTCATCCATTTCCAGCCTCTGACAAACAGGGACAATATTCCTATTCATCCTGGCTAATATACACTGATGGGGAGACGGGGAGAAGATTTCTGATAGTAGGGGACTCTTTAATGGAGTGGACAGAAATAACAAGATCCAGTGGCTGGAAGCTGAAGCTAGACAAACTCAGGCTAAAAATAAGGTGCCCATTTTTATGTCTTTCTTTTAAATGTGCTTTAACTAAACTAGATGTTGTGAGCTTGAATCTGGAATCATTGGATGATTCCATATTGGATGATTCCATAGTCTATGGCCTATGTTTTGCAGAGGATCAGGCTAGATGATCATAACATTCTCTTCCTACTGTAATATCTATGTATCTATAAGTCATTAAAAGTTATATCCCAGTTCTGCTCTCAGATGGTCAGGGACCACTTCCATTGTCTCTAACTAATTAATGATTCAATTTCATCCTCAGACAAACATGGATGTTAGAAAGAAAATTCCTTACTAAATTATGGACCAAGTTGTCTCATCTGAGATTCATGCGGAACCTACAGTTAAATCAATGGGAGTTATGTGAACTTGTCTAGGGCATAATCCAAAGCAACAGAGGGCAAATATAGGACCCTGGGCTGGATCCAGTTCAACAGGGTTAGCCACTGCATTTATCTGCGTCTCCACAGGTACATGTGATTGTAGCTCCCATTGGCCACGGGTAGCTATTCCCAGACAGTGGGAGCTATGGAAAGTGGTGTCCTGGTCTGAACAACTTCCTTCAGCTCCCATTGACCAGGAATGGATCTCTGCAGTCAATGGGAGCTGCAAGCATCAGTATCTGTGGAGGTGCAGGTAATATTGCAATGACATCCCAGCAGGAGCTAAACCTGGCAAACTGCCGCCATCTTACTGCCCATCCTGATTCAAAGTCAGCTGTAGTCAATGGAAAGGCTCCCACTGATATCAGTGGGCTTTGGATCAAGACCCTAATTCTAGATCCTGATTCAGTGAAATAAATGACAAAACTGCCATTGATTTCATGGTTGAGGATCTGGCCTGAAGAAGGCAGAACTTCACCTTACACCATAAGAATCCAATCTCAAAAGGTACCTAAAAACACCTCCCAGAAGGGATATATTCAGTATCTTGTGGCACCTTATAGACTAACTGAAGTGTAGGAGCATCAGTTAGTCTATAAGGTGCCACAGGACTCCTCGCCGCTTTTGCAGATTCAGACTAACATGGCTACCCCTCTGATTCAGTATCTTGTTAGACCAGGCACTCACTGAATAGCATGTTGGGAAGAAGGAAAAGGTCAACAAATAACATTAAATGAAATCCAATACAAAGTGAAAGGGCTGAGAGAACTTCATGATAATGGTAAAGTGACAGACCAATGGTACCTTAAGGAGCGAGTGCACCAGTGGAGTCTGAATCAAAACAGGACAAAATAGGAAAGGGGCTTAAACAGGTAGGGGAGTGCAAGAGATAATTCAGTCATGTTTGTAAAGTGCTTAGAGAACTGCTGATCTTTGGGAATGCAAAAAAGTATTATTGAGGTGTTTATTATCAGCTTTATATCACCTGGATTGGGCTGGTACTGCATCTTGGTTTTGTCATTTTAAAGAACAAGAAAGATGCTCAGAAAATTTATATGGGCATTCTTTGGTTGCTCTGAATCAAAAGCCAATGGGGGAAAAAAATATTGGCTCAAGCCCTGCATGCCTCATTCAGGCAAAAACTGCCTTGAGATGAGTATAAAAACCATGATTTTTTAAAAATTAATACATCTGAAGTTCTTTTTATTTGCCATCTGGGTTTTGAGCCGTTAGGATTTACATTTACAATCAAGAGAGCTAGAAACTTTTTTTTAAGGAAAGGTGAGATGATCTTGTCATCACAAGACTCCAAGAGCTGAGTCTTTAAAAAAACTACCAAATATCACAGGACCCTTAATAAAAAATGAGAATTGATAACACTACAGAATACATTTGGGATAGGGTGCCTTTGTGGGCCACATTCTGAACGGAAACTGCAAGGAATAGGGCAGACAAAACTGGTGGTTTATTCTATAATTACATTAACCAAGAAAAACTTAAAAAACAATGAATGGTCCTGCAGCACCTTAGAGACTAACAAAAAATGTAGATGGTATTGTGGGCACAACCCACATCTTCAGATGTTGTTTTTTTAATTACAGACTAGCATGGCTACTCCTCTGCTACTATTAACTAAGGGTATGTCTACACTACAATGTTAGTTCGAACTAACGGACGTTAGTTCGAACTAACATTCATAGGCGCTACACTAGTGCTCCACTAGTTCGAATTTAAATCGAACGAGCGGAGCGCTTAGTTCGAACTAGGAAAACCTCATTTTACGAGGATTAAGCCTAGTTCGAACTTACTAGTTCGAATTAAGGGGTGTGTAGCCCCTTAATTCGAACTAGTGGGAGGCTAGCCCTCCCCATGTTTCCCTGGTGGCCACTCTGGCCAACACCAGGGAAACTCTATTCTGTGGTCAGGTTAACCGTAGGGTGCCCTGACTCAGCACATCTTCTGAACTGCTTTTGCCACCAAAACAGCTTGGGTATGTCTAGACTACATGGGGCCAACTTTTAAGCATCGGGTTTAGTAACACTTGCATTTAGTAAGTCATTAATACAAAAAGGTGGATTAGCAGCTCTAGTCTATTGGGCAATTTTGAACAACAGAACAGGCTGAGCTGGAAAAATGCACTTTATCCAACAGGCTAATGTCTACGAACCAAAAATCAAGTTTCAAAACAACTTCCAAAGCAGAATTTACCACGGGGCCTTTAAATCTTGTGGATTGTTGAAAGCTCATTTACTCACTATTGTGCCAAGCATTTGAGCCTAACACATAGACATCAGTGTGAAGCAGTACAGTAAGAGCAGCAGCTGATTTTGAACAACATGCCCTCATGTCTCAAAGTAACCTGAAGCAATCTGACCCTTTTTAAGCAGTTGTCTCTGCATACTCACAATCTAATACCTTAAAGCAAGGTTAACTAATTTTTTAATTGATCTAAGGCATGCTATCTGATAAGAGCCTTGCATGTCACAAATTACAAGGGATTGAGTTTATAGGACCCAGTTACAAACAGTTGGGGAAAAGGATTTGTAAAAGGAAATGCAAGCTGCTATAGCTGTGCCAATGTGCTGGTATAATACACAGCCAAATAGTTTTCCTGGAGTCTGTTATCAAAGAATACTAGCTCACAACGGATGGCATTTTGTTTCAAGCAGAAACATTTGAGATCCATTTAGAAACTAAATCACCGCACTCTCTCTCTCAACAGTACACTTGGGCTGTTTGCCAGAAAGTCCATCTTGGAGGACATCAGTGCAGCTTGTTCCTTCTGACTGTGGTTATTTCCAAGCCAACCAAATGAACCATGGACAAATGCCAAGAACTAGTCTGTAATAGGTTAGAGTACAGCAAGGCAGCCACAGAACTGCTGGCACTGGAGCCATCCCGTGTCTCCCTTCGGGATAGCCCCCATTGAGGTCAGTGGGAGTTTACCATACATTTCAATGGCAGCAGAAGCAGGCTCTAACTGGTCTACACTACATGGAAAAGTCAAAGTAAGATATGCAACTCCAGCTACATAAATTGCATAGCTACAGTTGAGGTACTTTAAATTCTTGTCCACATAGCAGGAGCATAACAAGGAACAAACACTCCCGTCGGCTTTCCTTACTCCTCGCGAGGAGTAGGAGTACCAGTGCCAAAGGGAGCACCCTTTGAGTTCGAGCTAGTGGGTCTATACTACAGCCGCTAAATTGAACTCCAGAAGATCGACCACAGCAGAGTGCAAGGCATGAAAAGCAGACTCTTAAAATACATTAACATCTGCAAACATTATTTAGTGGGAATCAAGCTATTATATGGGCCTGATCCTGCAACACTTACATATCCTTGTGCAGAGAGGATAGGGTTCAGGAGGGGAAGGCTCCTACTCCCAGATCCTTAAAGGTATGTGAGCATTGCTCCTTTCCGTAGTGCAGCGCTGAGCAACTGGGAACCTGCTGCTCACTGGAATTTTCAAACCCATGCTAGGTGCCCAGGTCGTCCGCCCTCAATGTCTGGGGAGATACAAACACTTCAGAAATCAGTAAGCTGAGCAGGGAGCCCCTAGGTTATCTAGCAGGGAAATTCTGAGGAGAAAGAGTAAATTGCCTGACTTGGCACAAAAAAACCCAAAAAACACCTCCTTCCATTCAGGGACCTAAATGGTCAAATCTCTCCTGGAGTTAGATGCCTAAGTCAGGTTAGTCTCTTAGGGAATGTCCACACTGGGGAGGTATTTTGAAATAACTCCCTTTATCTTGAAATAATAAGGTGAGTGTCCACACTACCAAGCCTGTTATTTTGAAATAATTGGCTTGTTATACAGAAATAATAACTCCTGTTTGTGAAGAGGAATATGCTTAT